AAGTGTCCCCTCAAAGGCTCATGTATTGAAGGGATCCCAGTTGGTGGCACTATTTTGGGAGGGTCTGCAAACTTTAGGAGGTAGGGCAACAGCTGCAGAAAGGTCACTAGAAGTGTCCTGGGGGCTGTATCTTGGTCTGGGTCTTTTTCTCCTTTTCTCTCTACTTCCTGTCTGCCTGAGATGAATAGCCTCTGCCACATATTTCTGCCATCATGATGTTCTGCCTCACCATGGGCCCAGAATTAATGGGTCAAGGACTATGAACTAAAACCTCTGAAACCACACCCAGCTTTTCATTGGTTGAGATGGAATCTCATGGACTTTTGGCCAGAACTGGCCTCAAACCCTGACCCTTTGTATCTCTATCTTCCAAGTAGCTAGCACATTATAGGGATGAGTCACTGTTAGTTAGATTTCTAAGACAAGGTCTCATAGCTACCTTTCCCCAGACTGGCCTTGAACTCAAGATCCTCCTGTTTCTGCCACCCCAGTAGCTGGAATTATAGGTGTGTGTCACATTTGGCTTATTCCTGTTATAACATGTACCTCCCTCTTCTACCAAGGGAGTGGTATGTTTCTCAAGATACACAAATACTCAGTTTCAAAGTTAAGGATGCATACATCTTCTGATGAATCTCTATCACCATGAAGTCTCTTGTGAAGATATTCATGGAAAAAACCTTGTGTAGCTTTTCTGGTCCCCAAACAGAACCTATGGAATGATTATCAGATGGCAACTGAACTCTGTCAGTTCAAGATTCCAAATCTCAGATTTCCAAATCATACCTACAGGGAATATATATGGGGTTTGAAGTCAGGGCCTCACACTTGCAAAGGAATATGAAAAGTACCCTTTTCTACTCTTAAGACAGTTCTCCAGTGGTTCTAGTCACGATCTGTAGTGCAGTAGCAGCAACAGCAACCAGGACTCAGCCCCAACCCATACCTACTGGATCATAAACTCTGGGGCCAGGGCCCAGCAATCTGTATATTCAGAAGTCCTTGGAATAATTTTCATGCACACTGCAGTTTGAGACCACTGTCCTAGACTGCCAATGCTTTTATCACTATTTCTCTGGTATGTCATAAAAGCCCTTTACAATTTGGCATTGATTTGATTGCTCAAATGTAGTTTTAATGACAAATTTGCTTTTGCTCTATCCAATGTTCCATCGGTTTTGGCACATGCAGAACTAGAATTAAATTTAAATATAAACTGCTATAATTTAATAGCTCTCTTTATCACATTTCACTATCTTTTCAAATTTCACCTTAAAAACTGTCTTGTCTTTCTCATATCTAAATAAAATATTTTCTATTCAATAATGAGCTTTATGATTAAATAGTTTATTTACTGCATAATAATGTTTTATGGAGAGCTGTACCTAGTGTTTTTATATTCTAAAATTTCTTTAAGCAAAACCCCCTAATACTTCAGGGTACAAGTTTCCTAACTTGTATTTATTCTTGTGCCCGGTTCCTACATGTTGTGAACAAAGCCCATGTGCCAGCAGGTATATTCTTATATCCCCCCATCCCCCATTGTCTGATGCAGTTGGAAATGCTAGAATTACTAAAAATAAAGTAAATGAAATCTTTGTCTCACTCAACACAGATGCACTGAACTCACATTTCTCAAAGGAGAAAAAAAGAAATTCAAAAGGACATAAGGGTCATAAAATATATAACAAATCTTTAAGAAATCAGGAATTTTGAACTGCAAAATCATATGGCTTGCACTGCAGAGTTCTGGATGATGTGGTAAGAAAGGAAAACACAGAGGGCTAGATGTTAATCTAGGACATACAACACACATTTTGAACAAGTCTGCAGCTGCATTAAACAAAGATGTGCCTGCTTATTTGAAGTTAGAATCTGGCAATTAGTAATGTATACCTTTTCCCAAATAGATGGTGAAATGGAAATCAGAGTTAACATTTCAGGAAAAGTATCTACAGAAATAAAAAATGCAGACATTGAAAATGTTAGTATTGAAATTTTAAAGTTACAAGACAGAAAGAATATGCTCCAAAATTTTTTTTTAGTAAAAAACATTAAAAGGGGGAAAAAAAGAGAGCCCCTATATTTAAAATAAAATGTTTGAGTTAACGGTATATCCACAGACATTTTGTAAGACAACAATAAGGTTTTCAAATAATTAAATAACTTGTCCAGTTAATAAGAACAGTATGCAACAGGAACCACCTTTATGGACTGAGACTAGGCTGGAAGCAAATCCAAAAGCAGGTTTTTGTTTTTTTTTTTTAAGTGTCAAATGATAATGACAAAATGAGAAGGAGTCAATAGGAGGAATAAAAAGACACTACAAGATACCTTCATAATAACCTGCTCAATTTAACACAATTTGTCCATATATCCAGAATGCAAAGAAGAAATGCTCAAGAAAAAACTTGGAGAAATAATCAAGATCAAAAACAGTTGAAAGCAAACATGGATTGTGAAGGGAATTCAGGTTGTGATTTAAAATTTATAGGATTAACACCACTGTTGAAAATTTTCCCAGCATAAATAAAGCATACAATGCCTCTAACAATTTTTTGCAGTTCTGCATTTATGATACATTGCCCTTAATCTGTTTTGTTACCTGGTTGGGAGGTGGATAGTTACTTGGAAAGGGAAAGCAAAGCAGCTCTAAATCAAGCAACTGTGAGAAACTTTCTCAATTGTGTTAACTTTCACAATTGAACAAAGAAAACTTCCCAGTTAGTCAAATACCAAAAGAAACACAAAGTGTTAGAGTTTACATTGATATACTAGTAATTAGTTTGTAACCTTGCAAATTACCAGATAAGAGAACAATTCAACTCTATATTAAAGTAGGGACAGTATTTATGCAATCAAACAAACATGGTATCACTGTGTATTTGATTCTGAATGGGAACCCTTTTGAATATTAAGGTTAGGGACAGCTCTAGGGGGCAGGAGGATGATGAAAATGACAATATTCCACTTTCAAGCATTTGCAACTAATACAGAGTAGCTCTGTTCTGGAACCAGGGTCAATGTATTTGATTCCTTTTTAGATCAAAGAGGATTTATTTACAGAAGTAAACAACTAGAAAAGTTTCAAAAATACATTGGAAAGAAATCACAGAATTCTTTTAGTCTTGCTTGAAAAAAATAATAAGCAGAGGTGCACAAGGAGAGAAAAAAACAGGCTTGCTGTACTCAGTAAAAGAGGCACATTTTGCCTCTCTCAATATTATTTGAAAAATGTTGTCCACCTATTAATCCCTCAGGGAATAATTAAACACAATACTAAAAAAATCAAACTAACAAAACATCCCATTCAAAACTGAAAGAAAAACTAAGATATAGATGTCTATGAAGATTTATGAAAGAACAACATATAAGGAAAATCTTTAAGGTTAAAAGGGTAAGGTTTCTGGTAGATATTTTCCAAAACGGGGAAACAATTAGAAGGAAGTGATATAAATATCCTTGATTAAAATGAAGAGGGATATCTAGGATTCAGAGCAATGATATGTTGTGTTTCTCCAAATAATCTGTCAAGTCAGGTTTTCTTACAGAGAATGTAGGTACAGTCACAAGTTAATATTTTTAGATAAATTTTCCAAAGGAAAGATATTAGTACGAAGAACCTTTTGTTGGAAATAAGATGATTCTGGTCCCAACTCTTCTTAATGTTCTCCCTTTCCTGATACCCTTCCACGAAGAGTTCATGTATTTTCCTTTTCTATGTTAATGAAAACACCACACATTGACTGTAAGATTCTTACTAGATTTCCATTTGTTTTGCCTCAGCTCCTACATTAATCCAAACAATAAGGGCCTTTAAAACATTCATAAATAACCTGCTGCTGCTGGCACCTAGAAGCCAAGTGCAGCAATGTTAAGCAACAACAAATTTCATAGTTCAAGAGGCACAGTTAAGGAAAAAGGTTGCTCAGGAAATCATTCTTATTTAGTACAAAGATCCTTAAAAACTGCATCAAATCAGTCAAGTAACTATAGAAACCAATTTCTTCAGCTCCATATCACACGTCTCACACCTCAATTGTCTTTATTATCATCTGCTGTCAGATCCTTAATCAGAAATGTGAACAGGCTTGATGATTTATTCAGGAGGGAAAAGAATCTGTAGGTCAAGTGAAAAATTACACACACACACACACACACACACACACACACACACACTCACACACACACACATCTTCAACCTCAACCTTAGGTATTTTCATTTCATTCTGTTCTCAGCAGCTCTGGGGGCAACTCCAGTGAGATCCAATATTAAGGCTCAATTAAAATAAGCTCCAATTAGTGGAGCTTTTTTCTCTGAGGCTAGAAAAGTCAGGAAATGGATATTGGGAAATGTAAAAAGTCAGCTACTGAGAGGAGGCTGCAGACATAAATGAACTTATTTGTTGATTTCTACAGTTGCTATGCAGAGGCCTCTGGGAGTAAAAGCTTAACCAGTCTAAGCTATAAACTAAAACCCCTGCAGCTAAACATGAACTGTGTGAAACAAGGGCTCCATTCCAGAACAGAAAACTGCTGGGCCCAGAAAATTAAAAGCCAGAGGCGTTTTCCATTTAAAACTAAATCCCAGTACCGCCCCCCAGCCAAAGAATTATAAGCAGTATCAGATTTACAAAACGAACAATTACCCTGGAAAAATGTAGCCTATTGTACAGTCCCAGATGCTAAAAATCTCAAAAGTTTCTTTCTTTCTTTCTTTCTTTTTTTTAATCCCACATTATATTCCTCCAAGTACTCCGCTGCAGTTTACAAAGAGCCATTTCTAGACAGGCATAAGCCTTGAAAATAAATTTAAAAAGAGAGCACATAACTCATTGACCTCATTTGAAGTACTGCCCTTGCCTTCAGCAGTTCCTGTCCTTCCCCAAGGCGTCTGCAAATGGTATGCAACAGCAAAATAAACCCTGACCTAATTGCCAGGAGAGAGCTGCCAACCTTCCCTCAACACAAAGACCAGCACGGGAACTTGAAAGTCCTACCTCTTTGGCTTTCTGCTTTAATCTCAGCTGTTCTGGATCTTCTTTATTAGAACGACTCTATCAAAGGAAAAGAAAAATTTAATAGAAATTATAAGTATCTAAACACTACAGTTGCCGTTAAATATTTAATAAATGACAATTTCTCTTGTGATTGAAAATCCTAGCTCCAGGGGCAATGCCTCAATCCAATCTAGCTGCACTATCCCCCCTCCCCACCCCATCATCTGGGCTGGCTGTGCTGTTCTAGCCTGGAGGAAGCTTAGACTGAAAATGATGCTAACGATGTCAGTCAGGTCCAGTCGAGGCATGACGCTGTTCTTGTTGGAACACTGGAAACTAAAAAATAGATGGTATGGATGAACAAAAGGGAAAGAGAAGAGCTGTTGGCTCACATGAATGAAAACAACACTAGCACATATTTAGGTGAAGCCATTTTGGAAAAACATATACTATTTCAAGGACTATTAAAATCAAGAAGTGACTAACCTTCAACCAAATCTCTTTCTTTTTATGTAGGAAATACATTCTATTATTTTCATTAGAGTGTCTTACCTTTAGTTCCTCTACAGTCCTTAAAAGAACACTATGCACAAGTAAATGTTAATAAGTACTTATTGAATGTCACTTCTTCGTAATACAAGACTGGTGTAAGAATACAGCCATCATCTATACATAATGCTATGATGGACGAAGAGTAAGAAACTTCATTTCTGGTAGCCACGAACATTGTCCCCTGGAAACCATGCTTGGAATAGGTGTGTCCTTTTTCTCATAGTAACAGAGTTATTTAACTCCTACATATTTGTTCTATAAAATTTAACCTAAGCTAAAGACAGCTAACAAAATAAAACCTAAAAGTACCTCCTATTTACTAAAGTTTACCTGATACTTTTCATTGATTTGTCAGTACTTTTGTTAAAAGAAGACACAGTAGATGGTCTGTAGCTTTACGAATTCTAATCTCAAAGATATAATACCACATAGAATTCTACCCAAAGCTAGTAACTATTTTCTTCATTTTAGTCCCCAATATACTAAACAATTTCACTTCAGCCCAGAATAATTCCTTTGTTATTCTACCTACAATATTAGGAGAAAATGAACATGTGTAAATGTGTTTATATTCAAATACATACATACATACATACACACACACACACACACACACACACACACACACACACACATATGTATGTGCATATAATTTTTGCCCTAGTATAAAATGGGGGCTTTGGGTTAATACATTGTTGTCAGAGATCCACTATTTACTGGCCATCCATACTCCAGATCTTACCCTGTGTCAGTGTCTTAGGCCCTGGAGAAAAAAATAACTACTAAAAGTCCCTGCTCTCAAGTAATTTACATTTTAAGAGAAAAATAATAAAACAAGCTATTTTTTTTTCTTTTGAGACAGTCTTATGTAGCCCAGGCTGGCCTTGAACTTGTCATACTTCTATCTCAGCATCCAGAGAGCTGGGATTATAGGTGTGCAACAAAACCTCCAGTTTAAAACAATTACTTTGAATGTATAAAAAAAAAACAAATTAATAATCTGTGATACCAATAGGTGCTATGAGGAAGATAAAACAGAATAATGTGATGGGAAAGTTGTAGTGGTACTTCTCCAGCTAGGATGGTAGGAAAGGCATTTCTGAGGAGTGACATCAGAATTTTTTTTTTTTTTGCAGTACTAAGGTTTGAACCGGCCTTATGCTTGTTAGGAATGCACTGTACCACTTAAGCCATTCTACCAGCCCTGAAGAGTGAAATTTGAGTAGAGGTCTGAGTGAAAAGAAAGAGACAGCCCTAGAGAGGTCTGGGGAAGAACATTCCAAGCAGAAGGCACAGTAAATGCCAAAGCTTTAAAATGGGAGGCATGGGCACAGCTGAGGGTGGAAGAGGACTGGGGTTGAAGCCCAGAGAAAATCTAAAAGAGAAAAAGGCTGGAAAACATGTGTTTCCTTATAGGTCATGATAAGGAGTTGGGGGTCAACTCTAGTTATAATAACAAGTCACTGGAGGAAGCTTTCTAAAGGCGACTCCAGCAACTATGTGGAGGACATACTGTAGGGCTCAAAAGAGAAGGTACGGACACTCACCCAATGCTATGAGGAAGGAGAGTCTCCTAAAGCAACTGCTGTGAATAGGAGACTGATTAGGAAAAAGAGAAGAGGCTGTTTGAACTAGCATTATAGCAAAGAAGACAATGACAAATGGTTAGATTGCAAACACTTTTTCTTTTTTTGGCAGTAGTAGGGGTTGAACTCAGGGCTAGGCAGGTACTCTACCATTTGAATCACACCCCCAGCCATTTTTGCTTTTATTTTTGAGGCAGGATTTCATTTTTGTACAAGGCCAGCCTTAGATGGCAATCCCCATAACTTTGCCTCCTGTTACTGGGAGTACAGGCATGTATCACCACACCAAACTTGTTGAGATAGGGTCTCACTAACTTTTATTGCCTAGCTGGCCTTGAACCTTGATACTCCCATTTCCATCTCCTGTGTTAGCTAGGATTACAGTCATTAGCCACCTACACCATCTCCAGTACTTTGAAACATAGTTTGCATATAAAGCCAACCAGATTTGTTGATGAATTGGATATAGAGTATAAAATAATAAAAGAAATAAAGATACAAAGATGATTCCTAAAATCCTGGACTAAGCAACTGGGAGATGGTAATTCTTGCTTTCTGAGAGAGAAAAGATCTAATGAAGAGCACATTTAGGGGAAGAGAATTCAAGATTCAGTTTGAGATTCCTATTAGAAGTCTAATATCCTAAGGTGTGTACAAGCTTAGCACATGCAAGGAGTATAGAAGTCAGTGTGACTGGAGTGCAGTGAGTAAAGAGCAAGATAGGAGGTAAGCTCAGAGATGGAGGAAGGTGCCAGATACTACTACCACTAATAATAATAATGCTAATAATAATTACCTTTTACACTTTGAGAGGAAGCTTGAATTTTATTTTAAGAATGCAACAGGAAGCCATTGAAGGTTTTTTGTTTTGGTTATAAACACATTATTCTAACAAGAACATGATGAATGGACTGCAGAAGTGAAAGCAGGTCATTTGGTAGATACTATAAAATTCCAAGTGAAAGATATTTCAGACAACAGTGGTGACAATGTTGATGAAGAGAAGATGGACACACTGCAGAAGAAGAACAGGAGATCAACTGAATGTGGGGAGAGGGGAGAGGCAGAGGAATTAATTATGACACCTAGGTTTTATTGCTTGAACATATGGGTGAATGATGGTATCATCTGAGTAAGGAGAGGAGCAAAATCAGGAGTCCTTTGGGACAAACTAAATTTGAGATGCCTCTTAGCCAATGAAGCAATACCAAGTAGGTGGTTATCTATATGAGCCTAGAATGTAGGCTGATCGGGAAATACAATCCTAAGAGGGAATGAAGACAGAGGAGAAGGCTGAGGACTATAACATGGGACAGTCTAACACCTGTTTAGTAAAGGAGGAAAAGGCAAAAGACAGCAAGTATAATACCTTATACCCAATAATGACTAGTATTTAAATTTACAGCCATCTTGTTTACAACACAGTAATTGGAAGTAAAACCAATAAACCACCTCATTATAACAGCTGAGTTCTTGCTTACAACACTTGTGGGCTCAAGGAAGAACATCTTCCTGTCCCATTTTCCTGCTCTTCCCAGTGCAAGGGTCAGCATCAGAGCTGAGATTGGAACAGTGGGAAGCTGCATAGTAACAAGGCTATGGTGCCCACATCCTTTGTACAAGGTTGGAACACCTCGCCAAGGCATGGCCCAATGGACAAGAATATAGAGTGGTCAAGGATTGAGGAGCCTCAATAAGGCATGGGCCAATAGGCATGGGGGCAAATAACATGCACAATGAAATGGGGATAAGGGAAACAGTAAGTAGTAGACAGTAATCACCCAGCATAGCTGGTTGAAAGATTCATTATATCAATCAAGCAAGTAAGCTGAGTAAGGACATAAAGGATGATGGGAGCCAAGTTTCTAACTACTGAAGAAAGTTTTTAAAAACACAGAAAGACAAAGGGTAGAAAGATTCCTGAGGTACAGGACTGGAGCTAGAGATATCCATATGAACTCATGATTTTATAATATATACATACAAATCTAGAAAAGTTACAGTTACATATGTATTTATATATACACACCACACATATTATTTCCTAGGTTTGTCCATTGATATATCTTAAATGTAATAATTATGTTAAGCAGTGAGCACAAGGTATACTCTAATAGTGGTTTCTAGCTATCTTCAACTAAAAAACAGCAGGGTTCCTTGGAGAAATGGCTGATATCCCACAGCAGGGACACTAAGAGTAAAAGCTGGGCCTGGAATATTTTGTGCCAAAAAGGGCATGTGCTTAGAGTGACAAGGGACTGAAATGCCTCTTTGCAAGAATCTCCCATTGAGAAGCAATTTGAGCATCAAAACAAACAGTGATAATAATGGATGGCAACTGGTTGACTCAAACAGAAATCTATGAGCCTATACCCATATGAGAGAAAAGAATACTATTTCATACAGTAGAATGCTCATAAATGTAGGAGAGTTGATGGGAATAAAGAATCAGAATCTGGCAACCACCACAGAAGTGGCTGATTCAGGCAGATGTCGTAATAGATATAAAGGCTGACACAGAAATTTGAAGAAGATGGGATATTGACATCATCTTAGAGTATCTCCTTATGAAAAATAATAAAATTACAAGGGGACAATTTAAAATGGAGACAACTAATCGGGAGCCAGTGGCTCACATCTATAATCCTATCTAGTTGGGAGGCTGAGATTGGGAGAATTGCAGTTTGAGGCCAGACCAGGCAAATATTTCATGAGAGCTCATCTCCAAAACAACCAGACACATCTCCAAAATAACCAGACCAAAATGTGACTCAAGTAGTAGAGTGCCCGCTTTGCAAGCACAAAGCCCTGAGTTCAAAACCAGTCCCACTAATAATAAAAATAAAATGGATAGAACTAGTAGGCACCTACATGACCAGGTAATCAAGGCTGCTTTTGGTATGATCAGTTGAGAAAAGCATAGCAACATTTCTGTGCATTAGTGCCAAGAATGCATGATTTAAGTCAAGAAATAAGGGAATACCACACAAACCCTGGTTGTGTGGTCATACTACAGAAGATAAGGCCTGTGCTATTCAAACTGTCAAAAGCACGAATGTAAAAGAAAGAGGGAAACTGAGTGACAGAATATGAAAATGGATGACAAGTAAAATGAAATACATATTCCTTAATAGAAAAATGGAATGTGGAGGGGAAAAAAAGCAGGTGAAGCTGCTGGTGAAATTAGCATAGGGCCTAGACAATTGACAGTAGTGCTACATTGCTGACTTCCTGATTTGAATAGTTACATGGGCCAATGTCTTTTCACAAATACAAACTAGAATGCTTAGGAGTGATGGGACATCATGTCCAAAGATTACTTCTAAAAGTTCCAGGAAAAAAAAAATAGTGCCAATAGTTGTACAAATCTGTGAATATACTAAAAACCTAAAACTGAAAGAGACAATACTGACACTACTAGGGACAAACTAATGAAAATGGGAATGTGAGTGCCCATGTGTGCAGAAAGGTTGGAAAAAGAGTACAGATAGAACAAATGTAGCAAAATGTTAAAAATGGGGAATCTGGGAAAGGAGGGTGAGAAAATACAGTTCTGGTTAATTTGTCTTTAAGTATGAAATTATTTCAAAAACAAATTAGCTTTAAAAAAGCAACTGGTATGTAATTAGGAACAAATACTCTAAGAAGGGAGGCTTCTAAGAATACCAGGAATTAAAATTAAGGTGTTTAAAACAAAAATTAAGACTCTAGTGCTCAGCCTTTAATGTCTCACAAGGGCCCTAAGTCTATAAAGAAATGTGGACCTATAAAATGCATACTGTAGTGGAATTAAGATTTCATTCCATCTGGCACTAGTAGTCCTGGGAAACAGTTAATAAAAGAGAAAGAAAATAAATAAGTAAATAGCTTCACCCATTCTCTCTCTCTTTCTCTCTCTCTCTCTCTCTCTCTCTCTCTTATCCATTCCCACCTATCTTTTATTTTATTTGATACAATCCAAACTATTCCTTATTTTACCCATAATCTTCCTGTCCACTTTCTAAACCACCCCTCCCCGCTTCAACTTGGCACCTATAGATTCCTATCCTTGAAAGACCCTAAACATTTTACAAAACGTTTTTATCTGGGGGATGGAGGTAAATGGGTATGATGCTAGGCACATGAGAAATGAGAGTTATGGGACAAAAGATTATGATTCATTAAGACAACTGAAAGCCACTGTATCACCCATCCTGACTGTGAGACATTCTATTAGTAATTTCATTTCAAAAAATTCTCAAGAGAAATCTAAAGGCTTAATAAAACCAAGACAGTCAACCGATGATAAACCCAATTCTGACCTCACTGCCAAGCTGTTTTTCACTCATAAATCACATAGGTTCTTACCTTGGCTGCCTTAAATAACATTTCTCTTTCTTCTAAATCCTTTCTCTGTTTCTCCAACTGATCCAGCTTTTCAAGAAACTTGAGCTGTGACCTGGTATCACTAGACAAGATGTAATTTTCACTTGCCTGGCAGGGGAGGAAAGAGAAAGTCTTAAGATAATCCTGGGCAACACATTCTACATTAGGTATTGTTATACTTCAGCTAAAGATGGCAGGGAGCTAAATTTTCAGGAGGAAATATTTTTTGTTTTAGTTAAACAAACTTAAGAGAACAAACAAACAAAACCAAAGAACTTTAATGTTCTTAAAATCTGAGAGATGATTGAGCATTTACATTTCAAAGAGATTTCTTAGTAAACCCCATTCGGAGGTGTGGAAAGGAATTAAACTAAGCAGATCCTAAAAATAGGAGAAGAATCTAAAGAGTATACCATTTTAAAAAGATTTTAAAAGATATAAATATTTTTAGCTCAACTGTCCATTTCAGCAGACTTTAACAAGAATAATTAAATCTTAGGCATGTGAAGATGAAAAGCAAAAAAACAATCACTTCACTGAAAAATACAGCACTGTGGTTACCACGGTTGGATTGGTTAAAACTTGAAATTTTACTACCACCTCTATCAAAACAGAACACAGCACAAGGTGGCAAACTTTAAAATAATGAAGGCCTCATTTGAAGATTGCCATATAAAGTGTGAATTTGGACAGAAACTATGGTCAAATTAAATATATAATTTATAAATGAGAGTCATAACAAAAGTATAATTAACTGCCTTAAGTATTCCATAAAATGATAAGATTCAAATTGTTCTGTTTATTCTTATATGCTGGAGTGTAAAAACAATGCTTTCTTGCCAGGCACCTGTATTCCTAACTACTTGGAAGGCTGAGATCAGGAGGATCGCACTTTGAGGCCAGCCAGGGCAAATAGTTTGCGAGACCCATTTCCAAAATAAATGGATTGCAGGAATGGTTCGAGTGGTAGAGCACCTGCCTTGTGAGAGCAAGCATAAAGCCTTGAGTTCAAACCCCAGTCCCACCAGAAAATAAAAAGTGCTTTTAAAAAATTTTTTTTGGTAATATGAGGGTTTGAACTTAGTTCCTCACACTTGCTAGGCAAGTGCGTTACCACTTGAGTCATTCTGCCAGATCAAAAGTGCTTTTTAATCTACATTATTTTCTAATTTTTCACCTATGACCACTTTTATCTCTCTTGTAACAGGTATACTTGTGTGTGTGTGGTTTGCTGGGGTCGGGGAGCAACAGGGTCTTCCCAATCCGTATTTAAGCCACCCAGCAGTCTACTCATTTCACAACTTCAAACATCAGAGGGAGCTGAAAAATTGAAACTTTTAGTTCAACAGTCAATGCCTGGCCTGGAGATCAGGTTAGAGCTCTACTCCCACCTCCATCTTTGCTCTATTCCTATGCTTAGGGCTGATTCAATTATCTGAGACTGAGAGATTTCATATGCCCAAGATTCTTTTTAAATTAAATTTTTATTGTTGGTATTTAACTGGATCAAAAGAGTATTACATAGTTTCAGGAATAAGGATGCATTGGTGCCACTTATTTTACTTCATGTTTAATACAAAAAGAATTCCCAAATGGGTTTTAAAAGTTAAATAATATAAGATAGAATATGGAATACATTATATTTCAACCAAAGAGGTTGTGGTTTGTCAGATTCTTCATCTTTACAATTTTTGTGTTCAGACACTCTGGAGATAGTTTACTTGACAGAATTTAATTTAAAAGAGACAATAAACATTATTAAAAAGAAGTAGAGATTTTCTAAATTTTAACCCTATAACATTCTCAGGCTAAGTTTCTTCTTTTCCAACTCAGATACAATGGCCGGTAACATAATACATGTTCCCTTTCTCTTCTAGACACTTCTACAGAATGAGTGCCTTCCTATTCCTACTGAGTCCCTAACCTTCTTGAAATAGTAGTTAAACCCCAATCTTACCACAATACTTCTGGTGTCAGCAGGCCTAACTTGCTGAAGTCTTTGTGCATCAATAGACTAGGGGTATTAGGACCATTATTAAATGATTTAGCAATGAAAATATAATGACCTAATGTCACAATGAAACCCATTTAAAAAACTAGAAATGGGGCATCATAAGAAGCAGTAATAGCGGGGTGAATGTGATCGAGTACATTACATGTATGTCACAATAATGTCCCTTTCCAAAGGGGTATGATCAATGTGCTAACCCTCACCTTCTCCCCACCCCGGCAAAAAAACACTACTGAAGCAGAAAAGTGAAACAGAGTGCATAATTTTAAAAAAACAAAAGAAAATGCAATATAATCCAGACTCCAGTGATATCAACACCATCATGTGAATTCCATCTAAAAGAACCACAGACAACACTGAAGCTTCTCCATGGTCACAGGCATACAGAAGACTGGATTATACCTTCAGTGGAAAAACAACTGGCAAAAAGATACAATGCTATGTACCACAGTCACTTTTTACTTCTTCACTTAAACCTTATTTTATGGTCTATGGTTCACTATTGACTATATATCTTACCAGGTGAAAAATTATCAAAAGTAAATGGATGTTCAGGGTGGAAAGAGATGGTAGGATTTTGCACTTTTAACAGGGGCTTTTTTTTTTTAATAAAACTCGTGGAATACAATGACTGGGCTAAATCTGTGATGCAAAGACAATTAAAATCAATAAAATAAGGATGAATTTGAACTTAAGCGTAATTAAAGAATTACTATTTCTGTTTAAAGAAGGATAATAATCCTTTCTGCCTTTCTATATATGCAAACTCAGGCACTGGCATTAGCTGTATATTAAATATGTATGGGGGAAAGGTGGGCAGGGGAAATCAATAGAATAGTCAGTATACAAGACAGGTTAAGGAGGTGTTAATTTAGCTACATTATGGAGGTCTTCCAGATGGTGTACATACTATCTTCTGGTTATGACAACTAAATCCACCTGAAGGTGCTATACCAGGGAGCTCTGAATGGAACTCAGGGAACATTACTTGGGAAAATTCTCTTCCGTACTAAATTTTACACGTTGCATTTTGTATAAAAACTTTCCACTGTAAGTGATGATATACTGATGTACTTCTGAAACAACTCTGTGATTAAAGCAAGAATGGGGAGAATTCAGGTATGAAAAATGAAAAACATTTCTAAAAGTTAACAATAACAAGAAAACTAATTTCCCCAAGTTACAAAATTGGAGACAAGCTGTTATCAATTCAAACTATACTATTATAGAGTTAAGGGTGTTAAGGTAACTTCCATGGCAACCACTACAAAAAAATCTAGAAAATACATATGAAAGAAAATAAATCAAAATAGTATAAGACAAAAATCAAACACAAAAGACAGCAATGGAAAAAATTAGGGACAAAAAGCTGCAAGAAATACAAAAAAAAAATGAAGAAAACAGCAGATATCTTTCTTATCAGTAATTAAACATAAATGAACAAAAATCCTTAACCAAAAAGTAGAGACTGCCAAATGGATGAAAAACACAATGTGACTATATGCTGCCTGCAAGAATATCATTTTAGATTAGGGAAAAAAAAAACAGGTTGAAAATGAAAGGATGAAAAGAAGATATTCCATGTAAACAGTAACTAAAAGAAAGCATTGTTGTTTATGCTAATATGAAACAAGACAGACTTTTAAGTCAAAGTCTGTTGAAAGAGATAAACTGGGCATGGTGATACACACCTGTAGTCATAGCTACTAGGGACGCTGAGGCAGAAGGATCACTTGAGTCCATGAGTATGCAACCCGCCTGGTCAAAATAGTAAGATCCCTTTTCTTAATATAGAAGAGAAAGAAAGACAGACAGACAAGCAAGAACATTATATATTGATTAACGGGTCAGTTTACCAAGGAGATTAAAATGGTTTGAATCTTGACTGTCTTTTGGGGACTGTCCATATGTGACAGGATCAATTCCTAGCCTGTGGTGATAATGGAAGGTGATGGAACCTTAAAGAGCTGGGGCCTAGTGGAAGAAATAAGGTCATTAGTAATGTGCCCTTAAAGGAGACCTCAACCCTCTTTCTCTCTTTTGCTTCCTTGCTGCCATTGAGGTCACAGCTTTGCTCCACTGCATGTGCTCCTGCCATGATTCACTGCCTTGCCACAGGCCCAAAAGCAATTAGGCTATCCATGGACTAGAATCCTCCAAACTATGCAAAAATAAACTGTTCCTCTTTTTAGTTTAATAGTCTGAAGTATTTGTTTCAATAACTAACAGAGATATATACACCAAATAAGAAAGGACTCAAATATCTGAAGGAAACATTGACAGATGTTTTTGGAGGGTGAGGGAATACTGGGGACAGTGCATAGTAAGTGTACATTTGACCACTGAGCTAAAGTAGTTGAAGACTTTAATACTCCATGTTCAATAATAGATAGAGTATCTAGACAGATTATCATTAAGGAGATAGATGAACTAACACTACAAACCACCAACTAGATCTAACAGACATTTATCAACATCCAACAAAAGCACAATACACATTCTGTTCAAATCCATATGGAACATTCTCAAGGACAGACCATATGCTAGATTAGAAAACAAGTCTCAATAATTTTCAAATGCTTGAATCACCCAAGTATCTTCTCTGACCACAACAAAGTGAATCTTGAACGATCAACAGAGGAAAACTGAGAAAAAAAAAATCACAAATATATGGAAATTAAGGCACACACACTTAACCAATGAATCAGAGAAATTTCTAGAAAAAAAGAGACAAATGAAAAGACAACATACCAAAATTTATGGAATACACTGAAGGCATGTGTAGAGGGAAATTTATAATAGTAAATGCAGCTATTAGAAAAGAAAGACCTCAAATCAACGACCTAACTTTACATCTTACTGAATTGAAAAGAACAAGAGCAAACTAAACCCAAAGCTATAAGGAAGGACAGAAATAATGAAGACAAAAGTGGATAAATGAAATTGAGAATATAAAAATAGAGAAAATTAACACAAAAGTTGGTTCTTTGAAAGACCACCAAAATCAACAAGCCATTACCTAGATTGATAAAGAAAGGAGAAAGGAAAAAAAGAAGAAAAGCTACAAATAATTAGAATCAAAAATGAAAATGGGATCATTACTACTGACATTACAGAAATAAAAAGGATAAAAGCAAACCCCAAACAGTTGTAAGCCAACAAATTAGATTATTGAGAAGAAATGGACAATATCCTAAGATTACATGAAAAGAAATACTGATATTTTCACAACAAATTTTTCTCCTGATCGCTTTTTTAAATCAGTCCAGAAAATTCTCACAAAGATTTATGTAAGCAAGGACCTCAGCAACTGTGTGTGTGTGTGTGTGTGTGTGTGTGTGTGTGTGTATTTCTTCCATAGGTCTACATGAAGCAGAGAGAATCTGAAAAAAAAAAAAAAAAGGATGATTCCTCTAGGGAACTTACCGATGGTGTGGCAGCTGACATTTTCCTTGATTTCTTTTAACCTATGGCTAGGAAGCCATAGAAATGACCACTCTTGTAAACTCAAATCCTCATGTGATCACCTATATATCACCATGTTCAAAATCTAGCTATCAACATTTTTTGATAAAGATGGAAAGAATTATCTTATTTTTTTTCCATCCCAGGTTATCTTTTTCTTTAATCACTAATCACCCAATATATCTGTTTTGCTCCCAAACTATAATTCAAATACATCAAGTGCTTTCGCTAATAATGGCAAGTCTAAAACTAAATAGTTCACACCCCTAGAAACCAGTATCAGCACTCAGTACTATTATTAACTAACAAAAAGGCACAGGCACAGGCATGCTAACGGAATACAGACCATTGAAGAGAATAAAGTAGCCAGTATTCCATCCTCACATATCCTCTGTTCCAATCAAAACTTTGAGCAAAAGCCTCAGGCAGAACAAATGCATATTCCAGTCTACATGACACAGGAACTCTGAATACCATTTTAAATTCTGTTCTAATTTTGTCATGTAACCATATCTAAATAAAGCCAAATAAGACTTCATTTTTCTACTAATTTGAAATAAAGTCTATAACATTCCTTTAAAAATAAGTTCAGAATAGGAATCCATACCCAAAAAAGAATCTTTAATGTTACAAAAGAGAGAAGATTTTGTACTTCTTTATTGATTTCCTTTACCTTGTAAGTAGTCATTCGATGCTGAGCAACTGTAGTCAGTTTTTCTAGAAGGCCTCGTAATCTCTCCTGTGTTGCATGGGAGATCAGGTTCACAGCATCAGAGTTAAGTTCTGTAATGTCATGCTTTTTACCTGTGGAAGCAGAGAAAATCCATTACATGTTTTAGTAGTGTTTGATAATTGAAATAATTAGCACAGCAGGTATTCTGTTCCCCCTGGAAGTCATAGCCATTATGAATAAAGGTTTGGAGATTATGATTTTCCTAGTAAAGTCACAACTTCAAAGATCTTAGACATTACATTAATAAAACCTAGCCTGAAGCTTCAGAAAATATAGACATTGTTTCACTTAGCCCCTAGAATCACTCTCCTTGCAAGGTCATTTATAGGACAAAGTTAATAAGAACACAAATCAAGTTTAGTGTTCGGGGAGAAAAATGGTAACTGCTGAAATTAGTGCTGTATTCTGTTAATTTTAGTAATTAAAAAAATAGAAAATTACATTTCACCCTGTTTGACACTGTGAACAATTTATGACATTTATTTCAATAAATTCAGATGTAGTCTATTAATTCCCCATCTATAGACATATCTTATTATACTCTTTTTTATCCATTACAATCATGCTTATATTTTGCCTAACTCATGTTCTGATAAATTGACCTGGCAATCAATTTAGAAATTGGAATCCACCCAAAGCCTTATCATTTCACCATTCCAAACTAACTTCTGTCTTTTTCAAAAAATAACTTTTCCCCATCCCTCTATTAACTAGTAAGGAAATTTCAGGAAAATAGTTTGGACCAGATACTAAAAAAGCAGATGTCCATTTATAAATCAATCTTATTTGTATTTAAATAGCATTTCTCAGGCACAGTGAAAACAATTGTACCAACAGATAACTATATCTAAAGATATGGGCAATTAGGTAGTCTAATTTAAATGGAGTTTTAAAACTGCTACTGTGATTGTTTCTAACACAATCACAGTATATATGTATAAGTACAGCATTTTTTTTTTTTTTTTGCTGTACTGCAGTTTGAACTCAGGGCCTCATGCTTGCTAGGCAGGCACTCTACAACTTGAGCCACTCCACCAGTCCTATCCACAATAATTTTAAAGATATTATTATTTGATTCTGCATGCCAACTTATATGAAAGACACTCACATTCTCTCTGAAGAATGAGCTTGAACTATAGCAAAAATTTGCTCTAATTACACAGACAATATTTTTGACACTGTCATGCAATAAATATTAAATTTTAATTTAAAATATTGTCAATAGTAAACCAGTAGGAAGAAGATATAAAATTATCCAGTTTCTCCTAAAGCAAGCCTTCAAAATATAATTAGTTTGCAGCAAGACTGAATTTATCTCCAATTTCAGATTGAAGCAGGGAAAAAATACTACAAAGTCAAATCTACCTTATTAAAACCTTCGTCATAAACAAATAGTAGGGCATTCTATACAGTGGACAGTAAAATTTCAAAATAATTCAAAATTAAAATCACAACTAAACCTAAGGTAGGTAGAAGTGGCATTGGTATTTCATATTTGAAGAAAATGAACACTTAGAAATATTTAGTGTTACAGAAAGAAGAACTTTGGAAATAGTTCCATATGTGTTTATAAAACAGAGATAATTAATCCATTAAGAGTCCTGATTTCTGTGCAAGGCTCTGGTTTTGATCCCTAGCACCATAAATGACAAAAAAATTTCATATTTCAAAAATATTAGAAATAGGTCAAGTACGATGACTCACACCTGTAATCCCAACTGCTTGGAAGGCAGAGTTTGGGAGGATCACCAAGCAAAAAACTGAGACCATAACTGAAAAAAGCAAGAAAGGCTGGAGGCATGGCTCAAGTGGTACAGCAACTGTCTAGCAAGCATGAGGCTCTGAATTCAAAACCCCAGTACCACCAATATAAATGTGTGTGTGTGTGTTCATATGTGAGTATGAAATAAATGAATGCTATGCCTAAGAAATACGTACAGGCTTTGAAAAAGGAAGTGCTCTAAAATAGCTTCACTAGGCTGTCAATAAAACGTGCCTTACGGTTATAGAGAAAAATACTGTAGAAAAATTTCCAGGTTTAAATAAAATACTTTGTTAACAAAGTCAACCTAACTTACTAAGGAGAGCTAGTTAGCACTTGCATGCCTTACTGTTGATTTTACTGAAGTCTGTGCAGTTTAATTTGGGTAATTAGGATACTGGCATTTAATCTCCTAACATAATTCAAGCAAAAAACAGGAATTTCCAAAAAGCTCTTTGTGCAAACTTCTTCTGTTTCTGAAAAATGGCCTGATTGTGATATATTCTGTAAAGAAGGGATTTTATAATAAGTGGAGAACATTCCTAGAAATACATTACCACACTCTGTGGTCTTACTTTTTTTAAAGCTTAGATAATTCAGAGTATTTTCAGTTTACTACCAGGTAGTTCAGAAGTATAGTTCACCAGCATATTATACAACAAGTTTGAGTTTCAGCATTAAGAACTAAAAATGTGGGCCAGATATGACTGTACAACCCTGTAATCCTAGCTGCTCAAGGGGTAGAGTCACGAAGATCAAGGTTCAAGGCCAGCCTGGGAGAAGATAGTTACCTGAAAAACAAACTAAAAGCAAAAAGGACCAAGGGTGTGGCACAAGGCCTTGAATTCAATCCCTAGCTCTGCAAAAAAATAAGCAAACAAAAAAACCCATAAATAGCTACCCCTTTTCTTCTAAAAACAAAGGTTGCCCTAATATGGCTAACAGGCCGAATCTTGTCTCTTTTTTCGTGATTCAAGTTTTATGGAAATTCAACTATAATGGATTGAATGGGTCTCCACAAAAACCATGCTGAACTATTATGCCAGCATTGTGGTATTTAGAGTAGAACCTTTGGGTAGAGCCCTAATGAAGGATAAGGAGAAGCCAGAGTGCTAACTAGCTTTCTTGCTACCATACCACATGAGAACACAACAGGCAGATGGCTGTATGAACACCAGCAAGAGAGCCCTCATTAAGAATCCATCTGAGGGGTGAGGGGCTGGTGGTGTGGCTCAAGTAGTAGGAAGCCTGCCTAGCAAGCATTAGGCCCTGATTCAAACCTCAGGTACAGCCAAAAAAAAAAAAAAAAGAATCCAACTCATCTCAGACTTCAAAACTGTGAGAAATAACTTATTTAAACCAGCCAGTGTATAGTATTTTGTTACAGCAGCCCAAGCTGAACTAAGGCAACCATCTTGCCCATTTGTTTACATGTTATCTTGTTGCTTTTGCAACAGGACAGTAGAGTTGAGTAGCTGTGACAGAGATCATATGGTCCAGAAAGTGGCAAATGCTTACCATCTGACCCTTTGTGGAAAAAGTAGTTGATCCCTGTCCTAAGAGATCAAAAATGCTCTTTCAATGTTTAAAAACATTTTTGTCATATAATCAAAGGTTAAATTAAATTAGAAAAAAGTTTGGAAGGGGAGAGGAGCTGATAAAATGAAGTATCTACTTTTACCAGTGCTCTAGGTAATATGGCATTAATTAGTTAAAAATCTCAGTAAATTTCCAAAGCCATCACAGACTTGCTCTGAAATTAAAGAACTGAGTCCTACACAATACAAAAGACATATACAAAGAAGAAAATGGAAGGAAGGAAGGAAGGAAGGAATGAAGGGGGGAGGAAAACAGAAGCAAACAGAAAACATTTTACACTCAGCTCTTAATTCCTCTCTTTTGAGCTACTTATAAATCCTAATTGTTCATGATAAAAGAAATAATTATCCTTAATTTAAATTAGAAATGAAAAAGTGGTCATTTGTACAGCATATAGTACCTCAAATATTTATTAGTTATGAAGTACATACTTAAAACATGTAATAGTAATATACTTTGTAGTCCCTAAATATACCATGACTGAATAAAAATCAGAAATCATATTTTATATGATCATATTTTATATGATCAATATAAAACACAAAGTTTCTATTCAAATATACTCCAAGCTCATACATACCTGTTCACAAAATGTGACATGCATGAAGGAGGAGAGATGATCTCTGGTAAGTTCCAGGGTCAAGACACAAGAAATGACATAACTCACACCCAAAACCCTCTCCCCAGTCAGTCTCTTCTTTCAGCTAACCTAGGGAGACTGGAGGATTGTGAGTTCGGGGTTGAAACAGTCACAAAAAGTCGTTTGCTCCAGAGTAACACTGCTATGCTCTCTTGCATTTTCTTTCACACGCTGCAGTCACCTAACAACTACTACTGGATCTAGCAAGAGCCCTAATATTCTAATTTAGTTTTTTAAGATGAAGGTAGGTTTAAATTTCAGGACTGAGATAAGGAAGGAGGAAGGCACTGACTTTCACTGGCTACTCTTATACTTTATAAACAGATATATGTAACATAAGTATACATGTAACATGTACATATATATAACTAAGGGCCTACCAAGAAAGAAACAAGATAGAAAAAAATAGTACACCACATTGTATTCACGTAAAATTGCATGTGTCTATTACTCCATTGAGAATTATGAATAAAACATTAACTTTTATTATATAAACCAGTATCCATAGGTTATACAATTTGGATAATATTAATGATTTGAAACACTTCTTTCTGCAATACACAGGAAATATTGGTTAATACCACAGCCTTATTTAAACTTCAGAGTTCCAGGGTTATCTCTTTTGATAACATTTGATAAGACATTCATACCTCTGTACTTACCAATGTCTAAAATTCTCTTTTGTAAAGCTCCAATGAAAAGAAATGGTTCATCTTTACATGACTGAATAAGTGTGCCAACCAATTCAGAATTTGTTGCTAAGATGCAGGCATTTTCTTCATTGAGGTTGACTCCTGCCATGGAAGTCACATCATTGATGTCATCTTCATCTCTAATAGAAAAAAAACTGGGTTTTTGTTTGTTTGTAGGGTGCGTGTGTGTGTGTATGTGTGTGTGTGTGTGTGTGTGTGTGTGAAAGCATTTCAGAAAGCAAAAGAAATGTACATCTCTCCTTATATCTAATAACATTATTTTCCTTAATTCATCCAATGAAAGAATTAAAGAATGCTGTCTTTCCCCAAGTCTTTAGAATTAATTCTCTCTAACCACTAGTGCACATTTAATATAAGAAAAATGAATCACAAACAACTTTGTCTTCTGGAGCTTATTTTTCCTCTTTAAAATGAGATATCCTAAAAGAGATTTGGAATTTCACTAAGTCACCCACAAATCCTCTGCAATGAAAGACCAAGAAATGAAAACAGATATTTTTGCTTTCATCCAAGATGGTTAAAAGTCCCTCAGATCTGCCTGGTGCACTCCACCATTCCACTGAGGAGCAATGGAAATCCCCCAAGTCCTGAAAAGTCAAATCCATATAAAGACCCTTGAGAAGATGCTTACTCATTGAGCTATTCTGAAATCAAACTGTTTAAACTAGTTTTATTTCTCTGCTTTAGACCTTTTAGTGTGTTCCATCTGTACCAACTAAATACATTATACCATACATACCCTCAGGAAATTGGCTGCAAAAAACCTATATGTAAAATTACACACATATACACACATGCATACACGTTTTAAAGACAAACATAAAATACACAATATATCTGGGCTCCTTACTTTGCTTAATCAAAATTAAACAGTTGACTTTTATCTCACAGAACTGTTGCATGATGATAACATTAAAAGGAGCACATATATCTACAGGTAGAGAAGACAAGAAATACTAATATTCACTCCCAGCATCCACACCAGCATGTGTAATAACAGGCAAGTTACCAGTCATGACTCATACAACAATATGTAACATAAGTTATACAAAGGTGAGTATATAAAGACGTTGCTTCTCTTTATTGCACGAGACAAAGAAGTGTATCATGCGGTATTGTGTTAACAGATTTAAATTACAAACCTCCCTGTGATAGTGCATTTGTGCACAGAAAGGGGAAGTAAACTATAACTGTCAAACACTCAAGAAAATAAGGCTTCTCTCTGATGCCCAACTTCAAAAACCAGTACGTTAGGGGCGAAAGGGAAAAAGAGCCCCTACACAAAATACAGAAGAGGAACAAGATAAATGAAAAGAAAGTAACATGCCTAACACAGCAGATGAAAGTAAACAAAAAGAAGAGTTTTATTATCTGCACAACATTTAAAGGTATGTTTCCATAATGAAGAAAAAAGGAAAAATTAAAACCTAATCTCTCAAACTATCAAATAAAATGTACACTAAAGAGAATGGCCAAAGTCAGTCTCATCAAATGTCAAAAAAGTACTGCCAGAGATATGGGATGCAGAAAATGCCTCTACAAATCAACTTCCTGCTTAGGTAAATCAATAGATTTAAATATTTAAACATCTAAAATATAAGAAAGCAGAAATTATAAACTTAAAGATGGATCAAAATCTGAGTAAAAAATAGTATTTTGAAAGACTTGAGCAAAAAAATATTTCAAAAAGACCAAGTATCCATGGGTATTAGGTTATAGTTAAGTAAGAATACTAAGTTCTGATGTTTTATTGAACAATGACGTGACTATACATAATAATGTACTGTTTATTTAAAAAGAAAAAAACTAGAAGAAAGGATTCTGTGTATTTTTGCCACAAAGAAATGACAAATATATGACAAGGTAAAAATCATCACCCTGACTTGAACACTATGTAATGGTGCATGGATCAAAACATCATTATGATACTCCATAAATAGGTACAATTATTATAAATCAATTAAAAATAAAAATTAATTTTAAAAGACCAAAATCACATTAAGTGAAAAATGAATTCTCTCCAAAACAGAATCCTGTTTAACATCTTTGGGACTTGGTTTCCTCCTCTGTAAAAAGAGTAACTTAGAATAGGTGCTTTCTAAGGTCTCACCCAGCTATCTTGGATTGATTCGGATTAAAGACACTACACTACACTACAGACACTTTGTAGTGTCCTGCAAATAAGCAGGGAACTAAATATTCACTAAGATTTGTTCATCCTGCCATCCTTCCTTCTATCTGGTCCCAAGCTGAATGTAGTTCCCTCTAGTATGGCTGCCAGTTACCATGATTACATATGGCAGCAGGTTCAGACAACCCCTACTGAGAGAAGAAAAGGTGGCATTGTAAACAGCACCCAAGCCATCTAACAGTTCTCTAGGAAAGGAGGCCGACTGCAGGAAAGCAAAGACAACACTTTTCCAGCAGCATTATCAGTACGTGAAGCCAAGCCAGGACAGTAATCAAGGCTGCAATGCTTAGGAATATTTTGTGATTCTGGTTTGATTTTATTTAATTTTAAAGGAAAGAAACTGAGAATTACTCAACTAAGTCTTCAAGACTAATGCAATGCCTTTATGTAGTTACTACACAATCTACTCAAAAAAGGAACTTCAAAGTTTCTCAGAAGAAAAAGCCTTCAACTGAAGATTCTAGAATACAGACCAAAAACAAAGACGAAAGAAATACCACCCATTCATCACTTATTCTGCCTTTTGAAACTGATCTAATTATTTTTTCTTTTCATAAAATCAACCCTGCTCATGCTTTCCTTCTTAAATCTCTTCCACCCTCTTAAGATCTGTAACAGCATGGATGTAATTCTTCTGAAGTACACAGAATCACATTCTTCTCTTGTCCAAAAACCTCTTCTGTGCCCATGCAGTCAATGTGACATTCAGGAACTTTCAGGTAAGGACCCCAGTTCTTTCCATTTCCCTGCCATCACTGTCAATAGCTCCCACTGATGCCAACCTCTGCTCAGGCCTTCCTGTGCCAGTCATTCAACTCCACTTGCTTTCTCATCTTTCAGCTATCAAAGCCCTATATCAAGTCCACCTCAAATGCCCATTTCAGAAATGTTGGCTTAACTTGTTTTTATACTTATAAATAATTTCTCCAACACCATCTTAAGTTAGCCAGCTTCAGAAAGCCAAAGGCTGCATCTTCTCCATCATCTGTGGGATGTAGACCCAATACAAATACAAGTAATATCATATCTACATATAGAGAACATGTACCCAAAAGTGAGACTGCGAGAGGAGATTTAGGGAAGAGAAGAAGAAGGAAAAAAAAGCAAACAATAACGAAATATATCACATCTGTGTAGGGACAAGACACAACGAAACACACTGAGAACTGTTGAATGACACAGGATAGGGGGAAAAGGGTAAGGAAGTGCAGTGGAGGGAGGTTAGATTAACTTAAGCACAATACATTTACTGGTAAAATACCAAGGCAAAAGTCCCACTGAACAACAAACAGAAACCTAAACAATGAAGGACAAGAATACAAAACAGAGCCAGGTGCTGGTGGCTCACACCTGTAATCCTAGTGACTTGGGAGGCAGAGATCAGGAGGACTGCCCAATTCAAAGCCAGCCTTGGCAAGACCTTATCTTGAAAATACCCAACACAAAACAGCGCTGGCAGAGTGGTTCAACTGGTACAGTGCCCACCTAACAAGTGTGAGTCCCAGTACCCAAAAAAAAAAAAAGAATGTAAAACAGGTCATGCTAAGGGGAAGGCACTAATGGGGGTGGGGGGTGGAGTAAAGAAAGTAAAGGAGAGAAATATGGTTGATATACTTTCTGTACAAATATGAATATGGAACATTCAAACCTGTTGAAAGCACCATAAGAAGAGGACCAAGGTAGAAAGGAGAATAATGGAAGGGATGAACCAATTCAGGGTACAATATATATATATATATACATAGAAATGTCACAATGAAACTCCCTGCATAACCATCATAAACAAAATGTCTTTTTTAAAAAATGAAAAACAGGAAGGTAAAACAAGTTCTGTTTGGAGGTTGGTACCAGTGGGAGGGCAGAAGGGAAGGGTGAAGGAGGGTGAATATGGTGAAAGCACTCTGTACTCATGTATGAAAATAGACAATAAGACCTGCTGAAACTGTTCTAAGGAGGGGGAAGAGGGGATAAAGGAGAAAGATGGAGAGGGTGAATCTAAGATATACCGTAAGCACTTATAAATGTCATAATGTACTCCTGGTATAACTATAACATGCTAGTAAAAAAAATCACTTCTTCAACTGCTACATGTTTTGGACTTCTGAGAGCATATTTTTATCCATTATGATAGATCTTACTATGATTTCTGATCTAATAGTCAACATGTTTGCCCCAACCTTCACCAAGTCTAACTTTATTGATCACATTCCTAACAGAGGAATATTGTATGTGCTTACAACAAGGTACTGAGAAGCAGAGAACAGTGGGCAAAATGAAGCAAACTGCCTCCCTTACAACCTACATAAAAGAAAGCAATTAACTTCTCTGATATCGAATCTTCAGTAAAATAGTAATAACACTGGACCCTAGTCTTGGACTGACGATCCAAGGAAATAATTCATACCATATGAAAAGGAATTACAGATACCCCTTGACTTACAATAGGGTTACATTCCAAAAAACACTGTATAAGTTCTAAGTTTCATAAGCTGAAAATACACTGCTTACCCTAACCTACCGAACATCAACTTTTGCCCAGCTTAAGCATGCTCAGACAGTTACATTAGCCTACAGATGAGCAAAATCATCTAATGAAAAGACTAATAATAAAGTGTTGAGCCAGGTGCTGGTAGCCCATGCCTGTAATACTAGCTACTGGCAAGGCTGAGTATGATCACAATTCGAGGCCAGCTCAGGAATTATTTCCTGAGACCCAATTTCCAAAAATAACCAGAGCAAAATGGACAGACGGTGGTGTGGGTCAAGTGGTAAAGCATCTGCTTTACAAACATAAAACCTTGATTTCAAACCCCAATCTCACAAATAAAATTAAGTGTTGAATAGCTCATATAATGTATTAAATATCTATAACCAAAACCAACCAGCCATTACAGTCACTACAGAGCATCAGTTGTTTACCCCATAATT